CTGCCTTTAGGATTTTTCCTTTTATAGCTACTTTGTTTAGGCGAATTATTATGTGTCTGGGAGTTGTTCTTCTCATTTGTTGTCTTGCAGGGGTTCTCTGAATCTCTTGTGTTTGAATTTTTTCATCCTTAATGAGATGAGGGAAGTTTTCTTGAAAGATTTCATGAAATATTTGTTCCAGTGTGGCTTCTCTTTCTCTCTCTGCCTCAGGAAGCCCAATTACTCTTAGGTTTGGTCTCTTGAAGTGATCATTCATCTCTTGCAGGTTTTGTTCTGTCTTTTTAAGCTTCTTTTCTATGCTTTTGACAGTTTGGGTTATTTCTGTGTTTTGGTCTTCAAGCTCTGAGATTCTTCTGCTTGGCTGATTCTGCTTTCCATGCTTATTAGTCTGTTGTTCATTTCCATCACAGTATTCTTTACTGCTGTCATTTCTGACATCAGCTCCTTCCTATTTTCCTCTTGTCTCTCCTCAGTTTTTTAAATTCTCTCCATTAATGTCTTGATGTCTAAGTTTGTTGCATGTAACCAGTCATTCTGGGGGGCTCTTCATTGTTTGTGTTCCAGAATCTGTTTTCTCAGTGTCTGATTTCCCAGGGGTCTGTGTGAGACCTATATTCTTCTTTTGGTTTTTCTTCATTTGTGCGGTTTTTCCCCCTCCCTACTTTTTCCTTCCCTCCATGTCACCATCTTCTTTAATTCTGTTATTCAGGGGTAGAGGGATTGGTTTTACTTCTGTTTGTTTAATCTCCTATTCTTTATGTATGTCATCTTACTTTGTTCAATTCTGGAGTTGCACTGTAGGTTGGAGGTGGTCCTTTTTGCAGTTTTGAGATTTACTTAAGAGGAGAGCTGTGATTCAAAATCTGTCTGCAGGTCCTGGTATTCGCCAACAGGTGTGTGGATAATGTGGAACCCACTTCCCACTGCCCTGGAATCTGTCCATGCAGTGGGGCTGTAGGTTTACTCCCTGAAATAAAATGTGGTTAGCAGAGGGAGAGAATGGAGCAAATAGTGGGTTGAAGAGGAGAGTAGAGAGATAGAGGAGTAAGGGGGGAAACAAACGAGTGTGCCAACAAATAGAGAGAGAGGCCTATACTGAAACGGATAAAAACAATAGACTACAGCTACAGACGAACCAACTCTCATACAAAAAATAAAAAATAAAAATAAAACATAGTGATGCTAACATACAAGCTAACTAACCACCTTGTTAGTGTGCTGTTCCTCTATACAAAGATATGGTTTACAGAGAGAAGAAAAGAGAAGAAAAGGAAAAGGAAAAAGGAAAAAAGGGAACAATACAGTAGGAATAGAATTAAATCATTAAACTAATAGAATCAATGAAGCACACTCTGAGACATTTCGTTTAAGTCCAATGTCCTTTCAGGTCTGATTTCTAGTTTTCTTTTCAAGCTGGTAAATTAGTTTGCAGTTAGGGTCAGTTGCCCCTGGTCTGCTGTGAAGGACAGTTCAGATCACCCACCGTTCACCACTCTGGCCTATGTCTCTTTCAAGCTTGTTTCTCCCGTTTCGGTGTTGTTACCTTGAATCGCCAGCAGGTGGTGCTATCTCAGCTGCTCGCCCCAGAGGGGGTGGGGCCGGACAGGAACAAGATGGCTGCCTGCCTCAGGGCAGGCAACAGGAGCCTTATGGTGGGCGGGCAGGACAGTCTCGGTAACAGGAGAGGTGGCAGCGATCCCAGCAGATCTTCCCTGAAGGGGTCTGATGTGGATCGCCTCAGGCCTGGGTGGTATGATGTGCTATGGCCCTCACGGAGGCCACGGCAGTGGTGGCGGGAGGAGGGGTTGTGGCAGCGGCAGCGGCGGCAGTGGCACCGTTTGCGCTGCAGTGACTGTCCAGTCCGTTGCGATGTCCCAGTCGTGGCAATGGCCGAGCTCCGTATGAAGAGCAGGCTGCGATGTTGGGGTCCACAGCCCCCTGGGGTGAGAGTCAGAGACCCACTGCAGATCTCCTTTGCAGAGGGCTTCAGAGACCGGGTTCCCCGTCGCCATCTTGCTGCTTCTCCAAGGTGATGATTATTATAAGGTGATGTCATTTCTTTGTGATGTCTTTGACAATATTCACAAAACTCACCTGAATTGGGTTATTTATCATTGGCCACATCTTTGAGCTGGAGTCAGAGAATGATCTGATCTTTCAGGTAACCTGCTAACATAGCCACTATATAAGAGGCTGGCTTTCCTTCTGAATATCTGTGATTTATTCTGCTCGCATGATATGATTATTCCTCAAACAAGCCTCCATTGCTTCTGTCCAGCTTTCATTGCTGTTGCAACCACCCCTTACCATTCCTTGCCATTTATTTTAGTACCAGAAGCAGTATGGCTCATCAATACAACTGTACAGTCAGACACCAGCCTCATTATAACCTGGAGAGACTCTTACAAGCCAAATGGCCCTAAAGAATCAGTTCGCTATCAGTTGGTAATCTCACATCTGGCCCCAATTCCTAAAACTCCATTAAGAAAAAGCGAATTTCCCAATGGAAGGCTCATTCTCCATGTTACTAGACTGTCTGGTGGAAATCGATATGTGTTAAAGGTACGGTGAGTATATTGTGACCCTTTATTACCATTCTCAAGTGCAGAATTGTGAAAAGGTTAAGCAATTGTTCTTCTTTTTTTTTTTTAACAAAAAGGTTCTGGCCTGCCACTCTGAGGAAATGTGGTGTGCTGAGAGTCATCCTGTCACTGTGGAAATGTTTGACACACCAGAGAAACCTTATGCCTTGGTTCCAGAGAACACTAGTTTGCAATTAGATTGGAAGACTCCATCAAATGTTAACCTCATCAGATTTTGGTTTGAACTCCAGAAGGTAGACTTTCTATGCACATTTTTTATGATATAGAATAAATTGGAAGGTCTATGTTTGGAGCATTCTTGTGTATAAATGAACAATATATTTGACAACATTCATTGATTCAGGTTTGATCTATAGAAGAGTAAGTGATCCAGACAAATTTCAGATGTAAAGACTTCTTGGGGAGGCTGAGCGAGGTGGCTCAAGCCTGTAATCCTAGCACTTTGGGAGGCCGAGCCGAGAGGATTACCTGGGCCCGCCGGTTCAAGACCAGCCTGGGCAAAATGGTGAAACCTCATCTCTACAATCAATCAAAAAGTTAGCCGGTCACGGTAGCACATGCCTGTAGCTCCAGCTACTTGGAAGGCTGAGGTGGAAGGGTCATCGGACCCCACCAGGTTGAGGCTGCAGTGGTTGTGAGCATGCCACTGCGCTCCAGCCTGGGCAACAGAGTGACACTCGAACTAAAAAAAAAAAGTAAAATATTCTCAGGGAGATCAACTTGCTTTTAAAAGGATTCACGTAAGCCGGGCTCGGTGACTCAGCCTGTAATCCCAGCACTTTGGGAGGCTGAGGCGAGTGGACTGCCTGGGCCTGCGGGTTTGAGACCCACCCGGGCAACTTGGCGAGACCTCGTCTCTGTAATAAATCAGAAATTAGCTGGGCGTCATAGCGGGCGCCTGTAGTTCTGGCTACTTGGAAGGCTGAGGCGGAAGGATCCCTGGAGCCCAACAGGTCAAGACTGCAGTGGCCAGTAGCATGCCACCACACTCCACTCTGAGCGATAGAGTGAGACTCCAACTCAAAAATAATAATAATAATAAAATTAAAATTAAAAAAAAGGATTCACGTAAAAGGATATAAGTTAGAGCATATTAAGTTCATAATATTTTACTTCCTTAAATGTTAGCATAGTTCTCTGGTCTAAAGTCCATAGCAATTTGGTGTTTTCATGAAAAAAATGAAATGAGCAAAAAAAGCAAAAGAATCCAAAATTTTATTTAGAAATGTTCTTTCAACCATTGAGGGCTGTGCAGTAACAGGAGAGAAGTGAAATATAAAATCAGTTTATTCTAAGCTACTTCAATGTTGGTTCATAAAGTTTAAATTACTCACCCAAAACGCTTTATGCTTTAACCAGTATCAAAACACCCACTAAATCTCTTTCATTCACTAATGGGGAAAGTCTACATTGACTTTTATACGATACACTTAGAATGGATTATTACATTTTTATAATTGTTACTTGTCATTGTAACTATTGTATATTTGCATGTGTGTGTTTGCGGCTATCTTGGCCTATGTATGCATACACATTTGTAAAGATTGGTTAAGATTGTTATGTAACTTAAAAACAAATCAGTATGATCATGGTCTCACTATTTCTTTAAAAATGCTGTTGTTCCTCAATAATTTAATGTTTCTGAATTACTATATAAGATGCTTTTTAATGATTTTATACTTTTAAGATAAAAACTATATAAAAATATGAAACAATACCAAAATATCGAGATGATATTAGTAAAACCAAGGGCCATTTCTTTTTTTCAGGAAGAAAACCAGATTTATTAACCCAAAACATAGGCATGTACCATTCTTGTAATCAAGCAGCCAGTTCAAAAATCCACGCAGAACACAAGCAAATCTCCCAGCAAGTAAATAGATTTTATTCAAATACATCAAAATATATTTGATTGGAATTAAAATATGACTTCCTCTGAATGAGTGATCAGTGAAACATTTGATATAATCAGCAGAATGCTATTTTTCTCAAGTGACTATTCAATTTTATAAGGGAAAACACGTTTTTACCTTGATTAACAGTAGTCATATTTTCCAATTATCTGGGTGATGACTTAAGGGGCAATGACCCTGAAAATGGAGAGAAGGCCCTGTTCCAAATTAATAATCGTATTTTGGTATTTTGAAAAAGAAAAATAAAATATTTTGGATCAAACGATGACCCGTTTTTGCTGTTAATTAATCAGATCATCTCAAAATAATGTTCACCAGGTGGAAACAATTACCAGTTAACTGTCTCGTGTTTATTACTCTTTGGAGATATAAATTCAGCTAATATGCTCATTTTATAATATTTGCTAAAAAGCTAATATCAAATAAACTAGAAACAAAGATAATTTTTTTGAGTTGGAGTCTCACTCTCTGTTGCCCAGGCTGGAGTGCAGTGGCATGATCACAGCCACCACATCCTCGACCTGCTGGGCTTAGGTGATCCTTCTGCCTCAGCCTTCCAAGCAGCTGGAACTACAGTCACTCACCATCACACCCAGCAAGTTTTTTTATTTATTGTAGAGACAAGTTCTCACCAATTGTGCAGGCTGGTCTCAACCTCCTGGCTCAGGCAATTCTCTTGACTAGGCCTCCCAAAGTGCTGGGATTACAGACTGAGTCACCACACCTGGCCGAAACAAAGATGTTATGGTAACAATATTTTTGTTTGCTTTCTGAGACAATAAGAACAGAATAAAATAACAATCTCCCCTTTGAATTAAGATACTCGTTAGCCAGGTGCATGAATTGGCTTTAAATAGACATTATTCTCTTCGTTTCTTTATTATGTTTAAGTGTTTGATATGAAACAGAGAGAGGCCCCCTCAGCAGACAAAAGATTGTCATTATAACTTGTGACAAAAAAGACAATGAGTATCTTTAAAGTTTAGATTGGATGAGAAATCTATACACTAGAAATACTTTATGTGCACTTTCTAATCTAAGTATTTAGAACAAAAATACTCTTAGTATATGCAGGGACCCAAAAAAATCCCTGAATTTCTTTGTAAAATATTTTGTATTTATTCTTACACATTAAACTTCAGTCACTTTTAAAGTACTCTTCATTTGATGCAAGACACCTAGAGAGACACTTTTCCCACTGGTCAAAACAGTTTTTGAACTCATGAATTTTGACGCCTTTTAGTGTTTCTGCTGGTTTTTGTTCCACTTCTTTCATGTGGGGAAAACATCTCCCTTGGAGGGCTTTTTCATCCAGGGAAACAAAAACAGTTAGGCCATTGTTTAACTGGACTTTTTACATGGAGCATGTTTCTGATGATTTGTTGCTTAATTAACAAAATGATCACCTAATGAAATGCAGTTCAATTGGAGTAATCAGAGAACACTTTTTTTCTGGACACCTATTTAAGCTTAATGCAGTGCAGTCTAAAGTTAGGGGAAGGGATGAAAAGTTCATTTCCCAGACCAGCAGATTTCTGCTGTAGTCCTCATGACTTTCTTGCAATGTTTTTTGTTTTATTTTATTTTTTAATTTTTATTTTTATCAAAATTTTTTATTATGATATTGTGGGGTACAGTTAAGGGTTAGATATACAAATATGCTTCATTCAGGCACCCTTGTTTATAAGAGGTGTCTCCCCATCCCCAGACAAATATTTACTACCGTTAATCCCATCTCCCTTCCCCCCATAGTTTCCTACCACTGTCAGTCATTTTCTTATAGTATTACATTGGATGTTCAAGGTCCACTGTATGAGTGAGAACATGTGATACTCAGATCTTTGTTTCTGTGAGAGATCATTCAGTATTATAGACTCTAGTTCCATCCAGGTTGCTGCAAAATTCATGATTTTGTTCTTTTTTATGGCTCAGAGTATTCCATCATGTATATGTACCACAGTTTAAAAATCCAGTCCTCTTTTGATGGACAGCATGGTTGGTTCCAGGTTCTTGCTATTGTGAACAATGCTGTGGTAAACATACGTGTGCAGGTATCTTTTTTATACAGTGATTTGAGTTCTTCAGGGTATGTTTTTTGTTTTAAACTTCCTCTGTTGTACAGTTGTTCAATCTAGGTTCCGATAGACCATTTAGAAAACTGTGAAGCTGAAAATACAAGGTATAGTCACTTTTGCGTGAGTGACCATCTGTAAGTGCTAACTAATGAGCACAGTAGAAGGCTCTCGTTCCATGAGGGCTGAGTGCCATCTAATTAGAAAGTGCTGTCTCTTTTCAAAAGCTTGAACCTACCTCACAATGATGAGGCAACTGGGAATGACCCCATAACTCCATACTGAAACTCTGAGGGGTGGGTGATGAGGGAAAATATGGATATTTTTAATTAGTAAAATTTTTAAAGAAAGAAAATGATGAACTTTGTTTCTGTCTTTTTTGTCAATTTCCATATCTGGAAACAGAGGGAATTAGAGCACAAGGCTAAGTTTTTATTTAGTTCTTAAATTCCATAGATTTTAAAAATCACACTAGTGTATAGAAGAAGAAGAATATTCTTCAAGCCTAATATTCAATTTAGGCTTGGGAAGAAACAAGTATTTTGATTTGGTAAATATTTTCATGGAAGTCCATTAAAATTGTGTTTTTCTCAACTGTCCAGGCAAATCCCTACCAGAACCACAAATTTCCAAAGTTCCAAACTCTCAGACTTTGTAGCTTACACTGCCCCCAGGCCCCACCCAAATAATTTGAAAAATCCTTTTGTGGTGGCCTTCACCCCTGCACTTGTTGGCCTCTGACAAATGGAAAATCCTGACACCCCTGTGATTTACTGGGACATCCTGTGGCACCTCTCCAAGTTGGTGGTCTGCCCAGACATTCATTGCTGTAGTGAGGCCAGTATGCTACAGTTTTCCAGTGGTACCTTAGCCAAGTATCTCCTGACATTTCAAGGGGCTTGGTAATTTCTGGAAGGTGTGGAATGTTGGGTCACCTAGACTATTCACGTAAGGTAATTTTTGCACCAGATCAATAACGAGTCAGGAGCAAAAAGGACTAAGTTTTTTCATATTTTAGCCAGGAACTACTTTCTCTCTCTCTCTTTCTGAAGGTTCAGAATAAATTTTAAAGATTCAACACACCTACTTCATTAAGCTATATGTCTCAGTGGGACTGACACATTTATGAGTTTAGTGAAGGTAATGTCCCTGACATCAGCATATCTTTTTTTTTTCATTTCCCTCCATTCTCTTTTTTTCCCTTTCCCTTATGTACATGGGAGTCTACCTCCTGAAGGTGCGATAGAGAATTATCCCTAACTGAATAGAAAGCTAATATAGAGTATCCATTGAATAAACTGATGTGGCCTCATAAGTGCTAAATGAAAAAGGAGATATAAATTATTTATGGAAACTAACTGACTTAGGAATTTCCACTGGAGAAAATACATCAAGAACCCATATCAAAACACTATGTCCTCTATCTTTTCCTATTTGTGCGTTGTTTAAAAAAAAAACCAAAAACCCACCCTTTTCAAATAATTATATTAAGGATTCAAATAAACAGATTAAAAAAAAAAAGCAGTGTCACAAAGAAGTAAGTTTCAGATAGCTATAATTAGAGACCTAATATCTGTAGTGGAATGAAACCAAGATTTTCTATATTTAACTTCTAACATTGCTACTTAGTATGTTCATGATGACGAGCTAACATTTCCCTCTTTTGGTTATCTAAGCTAGCAGATGTCTTAGTTTGCAAGTCACTGTGAACGTCAAAGAATCAAAGTATTATTAAAAATATTGTTATTGTGAAATTAGCAAATCTCTGTAATTGCAAAGTATCATTGTTTTGATCCATCATTACCCCTCAGCTGTGAATTAGCATCCTGAGCCATCCTGAGTTAATGTACGTACCACCTACTATTAGGGATGGCAAGAAGTCAGAGCTCCAAATATTCCCTGGTGATATAGTCAGAGGTGCATGTCCTGCCTTGGGCATATCCTAAGAAATGTAACTTAAGGCAGTTATAGGTGATAAATAAAGTACCTAAGGTGGTGAGGTAAAGTTTGGGATCAAACATTCATAAAGAAGTTCTTGTTATTTAATAGAAAGTAAAGTTTAAGTTTCAATCAGTTGTTACATGCCTGTAAATGTTCGTGTTTTAAGAAGACTTTCTTACAGAAACCAAAATGCTAATTGAGACTTCTTTTTCTAGTGGAAATACAGTGAGTTTTACTATGTTAAAGCTTCATGCAGCCAAGGTCCTGCTTATGTCTGTAACATCACAGATCTACAACCATATACTTCCTATAATATCCGAGTAGTGGTGGTTTATAAGACAGGAGGAAATAGCACCTCACTTCCAGAAAGCTTTAAGACAAAAGGTGGGTGCTAACATACTCAACACTCAGAAGCGCCCGTTGAGTGTCTCAGTACTTTTATCACTTATTTCACTAATCTTAGATTGACATTTTTCTTAAAAAAGAGTACATTACTATTTCTATAGCTTGAGTGAAGGGATTGAGAAGAGCTAAGAGACTTTGCAGGCGGTAATGAAATAATATTGGCCTGATCTTGCAAGATCCTGAACTGAGCAAAATTCTTTCTCCTTTTAGTATTCTGCTTTCCTGTCTAGTTATGACATTTTGTGGTGAGAACTAAATAAAAATAGTGTTACTGAGCATTCAACAAATACTTATGACAACCATATTCTAGATGCTAGAAATGAAAAATCTAAAAATTCCATTAAATTAACTAGTTTTCTGAAATATATACAGTAGCTCCAAGTTGTTCCCTGTAAAAATAGAAGGAAAATGTTCCAAAACTTATGTTTTCTTTATTTGCATTTGACACTTATTCTGTGTCAAGCTAAAATATATTGTTACTCCTATCACTAATCTAATTCCTCACTGATAATAATTTCAGATAATTATTCAGAAATATTTTACTTATATTAGAATATTGTTGAATATCTCTTTAATGTATTTGTATTTTCTCTTAATAAATATATTCTATAGGAAGATGGTAATAGAGAATATTTATACTTAAAACATATCAATTGGTATTTTTATTTTTTTTCTAAAGCTGGAGTTCCAAGTAAACCAGGCATTCCCAAATTATTAGAAGGGAGTACAAATTCAATACAGTGGGAAAAAGCTGAAGATAATGGAAGCAGAATTATGTACTATATCCTTGAGATCAGGTATGTTTGTTTGCAAAAATATTTTGTAAACTATAAAGAACTAAGCAGTTAATCAAAATGATTAAAATGTGATGATAAAAAGTAACAATATTTATGGAAGTGTATTTATATCTAAACACAAAGGATTTTGAGTTTAAGGATCTCATGTGCATCATTATGTTCTTGGCTCAATTTCAGAAGTCAGTCTTGGCGCTCTAATTATAAGGCAAATCATATTATTCTCAGAAATATGTAAGTGCTCATCAAAACTTTATGGAAAGTATTTGATCATAAGGCTCATACAACCAATATGTACTTAATATCAATCCTGTTTTAAAAGACAAGCTGATGTTTGATGTTAGATACTGGTATGCATGTAAATTTCTGATGACAATTTGTTTTAGCAAGATGGATACCTTCTAGTGAGAAATGGCAATGAACTAGGTATTTTTCATAGTGTAAAATTAGGTCAAGTTCTGAAGTAGTCTAAAGTGTATAGTTCACACAGGATTCTTTATTTGTTGTCAAGATTACAGTTGGCAGTGTGTTCTCAGGGACTGAAAATGTGCCATTGATGAAAAACCAGCCATTGGTGAACAACCTTAGACCTGGCCAGTGTGGGGAGTTCATTGTACCATAGCTGGCTCAGAAGCACTGATTTAATGCCAGCTTGAGGGGAGAATTACAAATTTCAAAGACATTCCCCTCACGGGACTATGAAACCATCTTTTAAGAAGCTCCAAGGACAAGAGTCATTTCCATAATTATAGTTCTGGCAACTTGAGCTTTAGGTCTATTTTTGCTTCATCTTGCTCTGGCATTCCCATAACCTTAAAAAAATGTTCCTGCTCATGCTAAAAAATTCCCTTGGTCATGTTTCTAATTGAAGTCTTTTTGAAATTTCTGTTACTGCTTTCATGCAGAATGAAATACATTTTGACCTGCAGAATTGTCTTAGTGGTCTGCAACTAAAATGGTGTTCACCAATCAGGCCACACTATGGTTCAGGGTAGTACCCCTTGAGTGTGTTACCCTCAGCAACACCTTGAGTATTATTCAAGTGACTCCATCTAAATCCTTTGCATACTCCTTGCCCCAGTTCTGCACTGTCAGGACATAGACTACAGGATGACAGGATGAATTATTGTAACTTCAGTATCTCAAAATAAGTTCTTCAGTCAGGACCCTCTAGTTGGACTCTGTGTACTTGCTGATGGTGCAGTGGTGGTGCGAAGTGCATGAACTTGGGAACTGAATAGGCTTTATTAGTTTCTTAGGGCTGACATAATAAAGTACCACCGACTGGGTGACTTAAAGCAACAGAAGTTTATTTTTACAATTCTAGAGGTTTTAGATGTCGGAAATCAAGGTGTGAGGAGGACCATGCTCCTTCTTACAGTTCTAAGGAAGACTCTTTTCCTTGCCCCTTCTTAGCTTCTGGCATTTGCTGGCAATCCTTGGTCTTCACAAAATTATGTAAAGCACCAGTACAGAGTGTAGTAAATAGAAGGTGCTCAATGAATGTCAGAATTTTTCCTTCTCTTTTTTAATGGCCAGTAACTGTGAGAAACCACTTCACAAATTTTTAAGGGCCTCTTTCTTTTGAATCAGAGTTGTTTGATTAAACAGTGAAATTGCCAATGCTTAACACAAGACTTCACAAAATGTGCAAGAACACTATGTCCTAATGTTTTACTCAGGACAGTTCTGGGGACCCTGAGCTCCGGAAACGGTTGGGACCAACTCAGTTGCCTGGATGCTCCTGGTGTTCTTGCGCATTCCCTGCCCTCACAAGGCTAAACCCCTATTGTCCTTGTTGAACTCTTGGAATGACCACTCAGCAAGAGCAGAACTAGATTCTCCCACTAGAACTAGATGATCCCTAAGCTTATTGTGGGTTGGTACCAAGTCCTAAAACTATGGCGGTCTGAAAATTTCAGAGCTGAAATGTCCTCATTGTTTGAGAAGACATAAGTGGGAGACCTGGGTGAGCCTTCAATCAGTGATTCTGCTGAAAGCCACTCCAGTTCTGTCTTTCCAGCTCTTGTGCTCGTTCCGTGTTTTATATGAAGAACAAATGAATTGACTTTGAGGTAGGCAGTAGCGCAACACAAAAGGAAACAATGAACTTTAGAATCTTTGATATAATGAAAACTTTGGTGGCTGAACTGTCTCAATTTCCTTATCAATTTTATATTCTACATTTTATCCAGATATGGTATAAGTAAACTGCAAATCACATGAGAGTCTGAAAACTAAGAAAACTGAAACTTCTGAGTTAAAAAATATGGAATAATTGTCTTATAGATTTGGAAATTCTGAAGAAAATTTACACCTTCTAATAGCAGGAAGAAAATCTCCAGCTTTCCCTTGGCCATTGATTAAGCATAACTTTCTTGGTGGGCTGAGTTGGTTGGCTGCATGCATCACTAGGATCACTTTATAAAACCATGCTGTGTTATGTAGCCAGATCATGTGAGAGGAATGAGATCAAGGGGAAAGTGCACCAAAGGACACTCTCTGGGATTCTGTCATTGAGATGATATATGAGCATTCAGAAATAACACATATATTGTCATGTATACTTCCTGTATTTACTATTTTATTTTTTCTTTTGCAGAAAGGGCATGTCAGATGATTCACAGCACCAGAATTTAAGGTGGAAGATGACATTTAATGGATCCTGCAGTAGCCTTTGCACATGGAAGTCCAAAAACTTGAAAGGAATATTTCAGTTCAGAGTAGTAGCTGTAAATAATCTGGGTTTTGGTGAATATAGTGGAATCAGTGAAAATATTATTTTAGTTGGAGGTATGGTATCATGTCTGTCTATTACATAAAGGTTCAGTGGTAAAGATCAGTGCATTCTTAATATTAGCAATAGATACAGTGACTATATATCTTATCATCCAAACTACCATTAAATTATGCAATTCATCAGATCTTCCTAAAACACCATATCATTATGTCATTTTTATCCTAAATAATAAGCAGCCACCCCCTAATGCTTACCAAATCAACTCTGTGCTCCTAACTAGTTTTCCAAGACTGCCCACGATCTTGTAGACTGCCCACGATCTTGTAGACTGCCCACGATCTTGTCTTAATCTACCCAGCCTTAGTATCCTATTCCTAGTGCTCCTGCTTTATACACAACAGGCCTAAAGCTATTATTTGTCTCTTCCTTGATATCTTCCTCTTCCACTGTGTACCATATTCTAGTTTATGATACATTGCCTTTCTAATAATATAGGCTGGAAATCTTGGTGTCGTATGTGATTTTTCTCTACTCAAGTATCAAGTTCTGTTAGTTTTACCACTCGATTTCTCTCTTATGAGTTCCCATCTGCCTCTTTCCACTTTGGCTTTCCTAACTTCAGGTACTGTCTCTTGCTTGTACTCCTGGCTTAATCACACTGCTGACAGTTTGTCTAGTTAAAGCACTAGCTGGATAACCGAACCCCTCCCGGTAATACCCACAATGGCTCTCTGCTGCCTCCATAATCAACATCTGTGTGGCATGTAAGCCCTTTCTGATTCGCCCTCCAATTGTAGTTCATCTTTTCTGATATTTGTTCCTATTCTGTAGCCATATCAGACTGGTAAAAAGCTTTTGTGTCATTAGGTCTTTGGCCTTGTGTTTGCCTCAGCCTAGAATGTAGGTCCCCACCACCTACTGTGTGCCTCTTAGCTGGGATTTCCTTTCCTTCATTTTCTGTCAATTGAAATTATTCTCATCCTTCATGATTTAACTTAAATGAGCTCATCCTGTTGCTTAACTGATGCTCTTTAAGCAAAATGAATCATTACATTTTTCATATGCACGTTCCATATAAAACCTGCATCATTCTTATTTGTATTATAGTTAGTTGTCTACTTAATGGCTCAGCACATTTGATGAGTTCTGAAAAGAACCAAATTGTAAATACTTTAGGCTTTGTAGGTGACATTAGTTCTCTGTAGCATATTCTTCTGCTCTTCTTCTTTTTAAAAATAGCAATTTAAAAATGTAAAGATTATTCTTAGCTCGGGAGTGTATAAAATAAGAATGTGGCCAGATTTGGCCCTTATACCTCCGTTTACCCTACTCTGGTTTACATGTTTGTTTCCTCTGTACAACTGAAATGACCTCAGAGAAAGTACTGTGCTTATTCCTCAGTTTAACACCCATGAAAATGTATATGATGATGTTATAAAAATAATAATACAAAATTATATCTGAGGGCTGAGCTTTCTTTGTACCAAGTTCATAAAAAGATATTCATGTTTCCCCTCTCATTTTAAAGTAGAAGATTGGGCAGGTATATTCCACTGGTGTGTTGGCTCTCTGGGAAAACAAAAACAAAAACAAAAACCTTGATTTTGATTTCCCAAGTTGTAAATACTGTCTGCACAGATAATTTCAAGCTACCAACTGTTTAACAACTGGCTTGCAAAAATCCAGTAGTAGTTAGCTCTGGCATATTACTCTATGTGTGCTTAGGTAAAACTGGACTACTTAGCTTTATTCTGTAAATTAATTTCTTTTTCTCATTTATATCATTAGATGATTTTTGGATACCAGAAACAAGTTTTACACTTACTATTATTGTTGGAATATTTCTGATTGTTACAATCTCTTTGACTTTTGGTAAGTATCATAGATTTTAAAAATAAGCAACAGTTTACTTGATTGATTATACTGATTGATTTATCTTTTAGTTTATCTGCTCTTCGGCATGAAACATTACCTGATGAAATAAGTTAATAAAATTCACAATATTACCTTTGCTTGCACTTTTTACAACTACTAACTTCTGTGTATTTTTTTCTGATGAAGACAGCTATTTTATGGAAAATATATATGTATTCACATTTCATGGTATACTTTAGATAAAATGACTTGCCAGAGCACTAACTTTTAGCTTTCTTTAAAATAGTGTTGTTTCTGATTGGCTATAATAACAAGTATTTTTGTGGTTTACAGTTTGAAATAAATAAAAGAAAAATAACTCTGGGTACCAAAAAAGTATAGGATTAATAGAAGGTCATGACAATTCTAGGTCGAGATAGTTTGGTTTCTAGGGAGACGGCCTGGTTTGGAATGAGCAGGGCCTCTGTTGCAGAAGATCCGTTTCTGGCTTTCAGGATCCACTCTTGCTTTCAGATGCCTGGCCTGCTTACTTCAAATCTCTGACTGGGAAAGCAGAAGAATTAGGTTAGGTAGATAGAAAGCTAGCTACTTTCCACTATCAATTTTGTATCAATGTGCTACTCTTAAAAAAAAAAAGATTTAGTTTAATGATGAGAAAATACAATGGTAACCACAAAAAGAATAGTCTAATATTGGGTCTATAGGTTTATCATAGTGGTCATCATACATTCTAGTTTATTCCTGTTGTTTAAGCACAAATACTAATAGTACTTTTTACAGTCCCTAAAATATCCTGGTTTGGACAGAGTGTGGTGGCTCAGCCCTGTATTTCTAGTGCTTTGGGAGACTGAGGTGGGAGAATTGCTTGAAGCCCGGAGTTTGAGACCAATCTGGACAAAATAGCATGACCTAGACTCTATGAAAGATTTTGAAAAAAAAATAGCTGGATGTAGTGGTGCTTACCTGTAATCCTAGCTACTTGGGAGGCTACAGCAGAAGGATGACTTGAGCCCAGCAGTTCAAGGCTACAGCAAGCTATGATTGTACCACTGCCCTTCAGCCTGGGTAATGATAGAGTGAGAATTGTCTCAAAAAAATTTTTTTTGGTTTGGGTTATAAGATCTATGGTCTCCAGCTATTGCTAATATTTAGAGTCTTGATACACAGAAGCATTACAAGAAAGGCATGATGTTTATCAGAAAAGAACATACAAGAGAAAGTTGAAAGAAAAGTTACAAACATAAAGTTGAACTCTCTCACGATAAAGAAAACGAATATTAAACTTTTCTAAATCTATATTCTTTCTCCAAACTGATTAGAATCATAAGCTATCAGAGAACACTTTGAAACTTGATTTGAGATTTCTTTTCAAAGATTCCACCCACATAATATGTGAAACTTTTACAGCAAACTGGGAAAGCTAAAAATTTCAGCTGACCCTGCCAGGATCTTAACCTGTGGTTCCAGAGAGTCTAAGTATTGCACAGCTGATGTTTGTGCCACTAAGCCAGCCCCTCCAGAATTACACATATGACTGCAGTATATTTGGCAGTTGGCATATAGGCTTGACCGCTTGTCTGCTTTCCTACTGGGAATAAGTGTTACATGAAGAATCCTTCAGCTGACCTTTGTTTTTGTGCTTGTACATCACCATTGTTTAAAACCATAACTCTAGTGGAGTGAACATGAGCTAATTTCAAACAATCTATTGTGCTTTCAAGACAGCCTATGGATATGTGACTTTCTCAGGACTTAAAGGTCTTTCTTTTGTTTGGAATTCACAAATTTTTGAGTATAGCCAAGCTAAGTTGGTTCTTTGCTTTGAGTAATGGTGCATGTGGTTTTATTAGTAAGAGTGTGTGAGTGCATGAGATAAGATTGTCATTAAAATAATGAAAAGTAGCAATTATTTTACAACTTATATTGTGCTGAGAGTTGTCATTAGTTAAACTTATAAATATAAAATTGAGACAAGGTTTTAAAAATAAGCATCAACAGCCTTTGCTTCAGTGAGTGATCATATCTAATGTCCAACATCAACCTTCTGTGGGGAGTAGCGGGAAATGTAATGTGGTAAAGTACAGTGGCTGACCACAGGAGCTTGTTGTTTAATGGGACATACCAGTGTGAAAAGATAAGTATCAATATATGTATGAAATAACAATTAAAGGCTACATAGAAGATGGAATACAGAAGACAGTGACAAGGGAGAACCAGTAACTGAGAGGCACATGGGTCTCTTAAAGTTCAGAGATTAGAGACCAGCAGAGGATGTAGAGATTTAAAAAGGCATCACTGAGGATGTGGAGCCTAGATTGGGCCTTTGAAAGTGAAGAGAGGTGCTGAGAGCATTTCAAGTTTGAAGAATTGCTATAGCAACAGTTCTGGTGACCTTTCACTGTGTGGTCCTCAGATGGAATTTCACTTGAATAAAACTCTAACCTTTTGGGTATTGAAGCTGCTGTGAAATAAGGTTCAAATTTTAATGATCATCTCCTAAAGCATCTTTGCTGTTTTCAACTTCTGAACCAATATTCTAGTACTGATGGGTGATCTTATTGACATAATTTTAATCTTTAAAAAAGTAACACTTTATTTTATCGTGATAAAAATAATATATGCTCACTGCATACAGAAGACAATACAAATCACTCATGATCCCACAACTAGGGGGACCACTGTTACCATTTGGTAAGCTTCGTGTCAATAATTATTCTATGATATAGATATACACTTTTGTACTGTGAATTTTTTAAAAATGTGCCATTATGCTGAAACTATTCCCTCAGTTCTACTAAGGAATACAATATAAATATGACTAAGCTAAAAAATGAATGTGTTTATTAATAACTATTATATAAGTTTGTTTTGGTTTATTTCAACTCTAGTGCATAGGTTATTTATGAGAAATAAGTTCTAACATTAAAATACTTTAATTTGTTTATATCAGCAGTAAGAAATATATTCAACTTTAAGAAGTGAGATGAAAAGTGATGTGGAATAATTTGTGTGTTTTTATATGGCTTTTTGCCTGAATTTAATTAGTTCTTTATTATGGGCATATATTTAAATCAAGTTATTAAACTCTACTCTATAACTATTCTACCAACAGTGTTCTTATGTACAAATATTTAAGATGCATTGCTAACATTTTCTAAAGGACGAAGAAAGCAATATTTTATTTTATAAATTATGTCATATTTTTTATTATAGTCTGGCATAGAAGATTAAGGAATCAAAACACTCCCAAGGAAGGGCTAAGGATTCTTGTAAACGAAGACAAAGAGTTGACTGAGCTGTGCGGTCTGGCAGCTGGAGTAGGCCTGGCTAATGCCTGCTATGCGACACAGTACGTAGCTGGAGCCATCACTGTGGAACACCTAGGCAAGGGGGGTGGGGTGAGGAGCAGTAGCAAGAGTGCCCATGCATCCTGCATTTCCCAGTGTTCTGGCATAATTTTTGATAACTTCTCTTTCCATTCTCAAATGTGACTTGGGATGGATGACAATTTATGTAGTTAAACTGCAAGGGACATATGGAAAAATCCATTGTTTTCTGGTATTTTATCATGTAGTTCAAAAATAAATGAGAGAGATAAATTTTACATTGAAGAGAGCAGATGGTAACATGGTTGGTTCAACTAGAGGCAGTATTTGAGAGGAGAGAAATACCAAGTGCTATGTGTGTGTCCTGTTAAGTCAGCCTTACTCCATTTCAGAAGTTGTATGGTAATGGTCTGTGCAAATCTCTTTAAGACAGATGGGTTTTGAACTTCTGTTGTCATCATAATTAAGGGAAATATTTAAGTATCTTGTGCAAAGAGACACTGTAATTATGATCTATGCAAAAAGGAATTATGTGGTCTTTGGACTTACTTCTAGAAATTTATAATTCAAGACATAAATGAAAGGATTTGAGGTAGACAAAAAAGGTGACCTAAATCAACCATTAAAAGATGACTCGAGTGGATTGCATGAGTCCGCGGGTTCGAGACCCGCCTGGGCAGCGAGACCTCATCTCTACAATAAATCAAAAAATCAGCCGGGCGTGGTAGCGCATGCCTGTAATTCCGGCTACTCGGAAGGCTGAGGCGGAAGGATTGCCGGAGCCCAGCAGGTCGAGGCTGCGGTGGCCGGAAGCGGCCACTGCACTCCAGTCTGGGTGACAGAGTGAGACTCCAACTCAAAAAAAAAAAAAAAAAAAGATGACTCTCTTTTGAGAAAACACTCATCATATCTGTTATTCAAGATTCTCTATTAAAAATTCAAAGAATTTTTAATGTAGTGGCTTCCCCTTCCCTATTGTATTCCAAATGAGAAGACTGACTTTCTAAAAGTGAACTTGAAGGTAATGAAGTTGATATTTGTGTTCATAGTACATTTTGTTTTACATAAGAAATGAGATGTGTGAAACAGTTAAAAGGAAAGCTCATAAATCCAGGTGTATATCTTGTTAATGTGTAGTAGCTTTTTGTACAAATTGGCAACCTGAAGAGGTTAGTAACTACTAACTTTGACAGAACAAGTTATAATAAAATCTTTAGGCAATACACACAAATGAATTTCTCTATCAAAAAGATTGCCTAGAAGTGGAGTGACATGCTGTGTCTGGGTAAAGTGTGGTAGAACAGGGAGTACAATAAGCACACAAAATTCCATGTCTTTAAGTCACATAGAACACACAATGCTACAAAGCTACGAGATTTCTCTTTCATTCTGAAACACAAATACCAACACACACTTGTAAAACATATGTATATTGGAACAAGACTACTGTTATTTTATAGTACTCTTCCGACCCAAGAGGAGATTGAAAATCTTCCTGCCTTTCCTCGGGAAAAACTGACTCTGCGTCTCCTGTTGGGAAGTGGAGCCTTTGGAGAAGTGTATGAAGGGACAGCAGTAGACATCTTAGGAGTTGGAAGTGGAGAAATCAAAGTAGCAGTGAAGGTAATGTGGATCTTTGAACTCTTTGACATGTTATGTCACTATATCTACATGGATTTACATGGATGCAATTGTAATGAAAGTTGAGTGCTCTTAGCTAAAAGGAGAACTGGTAGAATGTAAAATCCTGGCCATAGCAATAAAAATCACTTTTTTTTTTTTACATTTCCTTCATAAGTTCTGTAATCAACAAAAAATCTCCAAGGTTTATATTACCTCTAAGAATACCAAGTAACTAAGACCTGGCAGACAGTTATCTTCTTTCAAACATGCCATAAGAGAATTGAAATTGTAAAACACATGCTGAAGGTAGTAGACCCGGTCAACAAACATTTTCTTTTCTTTTTTTTTTTTTCACTCAATATTTGATATTTATTTCAACTTGATCTTTCAGTAAATAAGTTTCCATATAAATTGCATCTGTGATGTTTTCAGTCTGAATAGCCTAGTATTTCCAATGGCATATATTTTGAACAAAGGCCAGTCTACATTCTTTAAAGTTATAGATTCTCTACAATGCACAGTCTAATGTCAAATAAAGTTTTTGCTGGTTAATGTCTTTAGACATGTTTTACATTTGTACATTCAAAAGATTTGTGGTTTGAATAAAGATAATGGTATTCTTTACATCTGTAAATTTCTCACCATGTCTCTATTGTTTATAACTATATATATGATTTTCCAGTCATTAGAGACACTGAAAATGTAGAGTACAAATTGTCTGATGTTGAGAAAACTTGGAATAACAGTGAAAAGGTTTACCCCATTCTGCCCATCTATAGGGAATCCCTAAATATAGATGCTCATATGTCAATCAAATATTGAATGAGAGCTAAAGCCTTTATCTCATCCCTTTCATTTATATAGTTTCATCTCGGTATGGATTCTCATATGTCCAGCTACTTGTATATGAGAGCAAAGGGCTTACCATGTTTTTCACATTTGTAGAGTTTCTCTCCAGTATGGATAATCATGTGTCCAGCAAATCCGTTGTGAGAGTGAATGGCTATGTCACATTCTTCACATTTGTAGGGTTTTTCTCCAGGCTGTAATTTGTCCATCTCTGTACTATGTGATTCTTCATCATGGTATATTTAATATGTTTTTAAGGAAGCACTGGACATACTCTCATATTTTTGTAAAAATTTCTTTTGATAAAGAGATGAAGAATATTTTATGTAATTGAGCAATATTCTATGTAATTGAGCAATATTCTCTGATCACTTCTTATTAGCATTTTATTGCTTTGAGGGTTGTCTGTACAACTAGAATAGTTGACAAAATTTTCTCTACTTCCAAATAATATCATTTAAAAAGTCTTTTTAACTTACTCTGATCTCAACTGTTTTAAACAAGTGTTTATTTTTTCACATAACAAGATGGCTGCTGCCTTTGGTGCAAGATAGTGTGTCAGGTCAGAGCCAGAATCTCTGAAATTCTCTTGGCTATTGTACATGTTTTCTGCCTGATGGCCCTAAGATAGCTGCTAAAGAACCAGGCATTACATCTTCATTCAAATGAAGGACAAACTTCTCTTCCCCACTCAACAGTTTTTTTCTTACATCTCACTGACCAGCACTGAGTCATATAGCAAGAAAAGCTGCAGAATTTCAGTACACAATTTTTTTTTTCAGATTTTAACTTTACATTTTAAATTTTATTATTTTATTATTTTTCTTTATTTTGAGTTGGAGGCTTACTCCATCTCCTGGGCTGGAGTGCAGTGGCACGCTCACGCCACCCCAGCGTCAACCTGCTGGGCTCTGGCAATCTGTCTGCCTCAGCCTTCCAAGTAGCCGGAACTACAGGCATGCGCTACCAAGCCTGGCTAATTTTGTTTAATTTATTGCAGGGACGAGGTCTCACCAAGTTGCCTGGGCTGGTCTCGAACCCTTGGGTTCAGGCAATCCACTCTCCTTGGACTCCCAAAGTGCTGGGATTGCAGGCTGATGCACCAAGTCTGGCCTATTTTATTTTTTATTTTATTTTAAAGATGTGAGGTACAACTCAGGATTAGGTATACAAGTGGTCATTGTACAGGTAAAGTTTGGGCCTCCCTTTGGTCCCCACATTGCCTGATTTGGGATCAGGTACCCTTATTAATGTTATGTGCCCCCTTCCTCCCTCCCCTGGCAGTTTCTGACTACTGTCAATCCTTTCCTATAGTATTATGATAAATGTTCAGGGTCTGCTTATGAGTGAGAACATGTGGTACTTGGTTATTTAGGGACACAATTTTTGTAAGTAGCTTCTGTCAGTTGCTTAGAATTGGACACCTTGCCTCCAAGAAGTAAAGTAGGGTATTGTTACAAGAAAATGAGAAAAATATTTTGAGTAGAAAACTTGAAAAATTAAGAAATTGGCTTAAATTCCAAACTTGGTTTCTTTTAAAATTTCTACATTTTGGAGGAACTTTGTGTAAATATTAATAGATGTTATCTAGCAGATTTTTCTAATTGAATGCTAGCAATAATAGAACACATTTGAAGAGGTTTATAGAACAAATGTATATGCTTTATCTATGATCTACATTCGAGGTTGATATCACAAAACAGAGCAAAACAGACATTGTCTCATTAACCTATAGAAATGTTCTGTACTGATTCTCGACTTGTTTTTATGTTGCGTAGACTTTGAAGAAGGGCTCCACAGACCAAGAGAAGATTGAATTCCTAAAAGAGGCACATCTGATGAGGTAGCTCTAAAATAATTTTCTGTTGGTATGAGTAGGAAGCTTTTAAATCTACTTGATCTATTTTTAACACCTGACATAACAGACCATTCCTAAAACAAACATGGTTGAAATGGAAACAAGTCTTCAGTAACAAGTAATCTATAGAAGTCAGTCTTCTGAGCCTGCATAAAGGCAGTTCTTAGGCAAAAGGTCTTCATTTATCTTCAATAAGGAGTATGGTCTACAGGTTAATTCTGAAGTTGTTCGGCTTTAAACACACTTGTGTTCATCTAAACGTATGATAATGGGTCAAATAGACCTGATAAGAGAGAATTCTCTTAAGTACTATGATGTCAAGAAGAATATCCCTTGTCTTAGTAAACTTGCCTTCAAGTTTCAGTCAGTTTGTGGTAATGAAAACTGCTCAAGAACTTCTTAAAGGGAAGACTTGAGGCAGTGGTCGATTAGGCCCAGGCTGTTAGGTTGGGGCTTACTTCCTCTGCTGTCTTAAGAAAATTGTGTAGCCAAACCTACGTGTCTGAGTTGTTTCTATGAAAAGGAGAGGATATATTTTATATTTGTGATGACCTAAAACACAATGTTTTCAAATATCTTTTCAAGAAGGCTTCTGATCCCAATTGCTTTCTTTTCCCAAAAAAACCCATAAAGTACTTATTACATATGTTTCTTCTACAAAAACCAAACAATTGTATCGCCATACTAATTGGCCACTAGGGGTTGCCATATTACCTCTTTAAGGCAAGCACGCAGACCAGTAATTGAAAGGGAAGCTTTCATTTACAAGGGAAAACAAGTCAGGGGTTTTGAAGGAAACTGTAAAGAATTGCTGTACTCCATAAAGACCTCAGCCACGACTCCTGTCACTGTCATGTCATCCAACCCGTGTCTTTCTACCTTTCAGCAAGTTTAATCATCCCAACATTCTGAAGCAGCTTGGTGTTTGTCTGCTGAATGAACCCCAATACATTATCCTGGAATTGATGGAAGGAGGAGACCTTCTTACCTATTTGCGCAAAGCCCGGATGACAGTGGTAGGCAGCAGCATCTACATTATTGGTTTTGCAATGCAAATGCCCTATAATTCCTATTGATTTTCTTTTAATGTAATAGGCTGCATCTTGGGCTGGTTGTAAAACCTTAGAAGACTTCTGTGGAAAGAATTCTTATATTTCCTTCATGTTGGATTAAGGCACTTAGAGCCCTTGGCTAATATTCTAGCATTTTCTGTTCATTTGGACCTCTTTTTAGTATATGTGGGGAAATACTTCCTTCACGGCCAGAATCATGTTTCTCTGGAGCACAGAGAGCATGTTGAGTTACAATGGCACATCTCTGTCCTTAATCTATATGCCTGTCTGTCCCAAATTTTATTTCCGGTCCTGATGTCTCTACTGAGTACTAGGCTTGTATGTCCCTACCTACTTAATGTATCTATTTGGATTTTAGTGGCATCTCAAACGTATTTTGGCCGAAACAGAACTCTTGATTTCATACATCCTCTCCCACTCTGCCCACCCAGTCCCTTGCTTTATCTTCCCTACATCCACACTAACAAGCCCTTGTAAGCTCTGCAGCTTTGTCTGCAAGATGCGGCCCTGGTTTTCTGTCTTCTTTCCTTAATGCCTAAAACAGTATCTAGCACAGCATGACCTCTGGAAATACCATGGGATGGTGGACAGAGCTGGGGGTGTCCTCCCTCTGCAGAAACCTACATTATACCTTAGATGAGAACTCGTGAGACAAGTGACTGAAGTCTACGTCTGTAGATTTAAAACATTTGTCTTTCTATCAAAGTAAACATCATATGCTTAACAAGTTAAAATGTATGGAAGGCTTACAGTGAAAAACAGGAGCCCTGTGCTCTATCTTTTCCAGGCTTGCACATATCTTCTGGAATTTGCCTTAACGTTTCTAAATACCCTGCCCATACTGATGCACAATGATTTTTCAATCTGGGGGACTATTGATACCTATTATGAAAGAAGAGGACTTAACTCTCCAAAATTCCTCATACACCTGCCCAACGCCCGCCACACAACACACAGAAAACCTTTGTCCCGTTGTCTGACAGTTCTCACAATTTTCAGATAAATCAATACTCCAAGTTTGTGTTATTATAACTATTTAATTATTTTTGGAGCTGAATTATCCAAATGCTATGAATGTGAGATTTTTTCCCCCTCATTGGACTTGTTTGCTAAATGCTTCTTTTTTTACTTGCTTAGTTTTTTAAATATACTTAAACTCTGACAAAATTGTAACACTTTTCTCAATGTAGTTACATATGTCAGATGATCCAGTTCTTAGTTTTTTCTTGGATTCTTCCTTCCGGGAGCCATGGTGGGTGTATGTGCCTTAAGTTAGCTGTACAGAGACTGTCTTATGTGGTTACCCTGGTAATCTCCCTTGACTCTTGTCCATGCAGGACCCTTTTTGCTTATATCTCATGACTTCTTTTTTTGTTTGTTTTAGGAAAGAGAAAACACGAGAAATCAAGCATGTGTGGCAAGAATCTGCTTTTTGTTTTCTTTTTGGGAAAATGTTCGTTAGTCTTCCCTCATATTTGATTGCTAATTGGACTGGATTCTAGGTTGAAAACCTTTTCCCTCAAAAATAAAGCCACTATATCTCTGTGCCCTAGCTTCTAAAATTGTCAATAAAAAGTCTTATGGCATTCTGATACCTAAACTTATTAATAGTGGTTTCCTTTTTGTCCCCTCTCTTTGAAAAAATTTAGGAAAATTTTATTTGTAGTACTGTTTACTCACATGGACACTCAGTTTGAAAGTCATTCCCTTCAGTTCTGGAATTTTTAAAATATTATTTCTTTGTTAATGAATAAAACTCTGTTCTTCTATCTTCTTGTTCTAGAAATCCTATTAGCTGGATAATAGACAGTTTTGTTTTATCCTCTTATTCTGTTAGCTGTTCTCTCCCATTTTCCAGTTTTTTGTCATTTTGCTTACCATTTTGATAGATTTTCTTAACTTCATCCCTAATCTTTTTATAGAATTTTGATTTTTTAAAAATCATATTTCAACTTTTCACAGACTTGTTCTTATACTTTGCAATTTAAAATAACGTTTTGTTTTTTCCATGGATGCAAAATTTTACTCTTATCTTTCTTAGGATAGTAATTATGGTTATTTTAAGTGTTAATTTGTTTCCTGTTTTGGAATCTGTTTTCAATATAAGCTTTTCTCAAATGTTTGGTGATTCTTGGCTGGTTTCTTTCTTTCTTTCTTTCTTTCTTTCTTTCTTTCTTTCTTTCTTTCTTTCTTTCTTTCTTTCTTTCTTTCTTTCTTTCTTTCTTTCTTTCTTTCTTTCTTTCTTTCTTTCTTTCTTTCTTTCTTTCTTTCTTTCTTTCTTTCTTTCTTTCTTTCTTTCTTTCTTTCTTTCTTTCTTTCTTTCTTTCTTTCTTTCTTTCTTTCTTTCTTTCTTTTTGAAAGCAGGATTTATTGAGAGGACAGAAAAGTTCCCACAGTGAGAGGGAACCCAAAGGGATTGCCCCCAGCTTCATTTTTAATAGTGAGGCCTAAGAAGCTGATGGGAGCCCATGTATCTGAGGAAGCTCCCTTCTGGTGTTGGTTGGGACCGGCTGTTCCATTGGGAGTCTCCCCATGTCAGTGTCTGAATCTCTTTCCTGGCATGTGTCACTTTCATCAGGGAGGAATTCACTGGTCTTTTGCCTGGGTAGTAAGTGCCTGATGCCTCTGTTCAGGGCTTAAAGAGGGGCTGGGGGGTTTCAAGGCTCAGGATGTGGAGTTTTCTTTATTTCCCCTCCCATTTTAGCATTAGTGCCTTAGTAGATTGGTGGTAGTTTTAAACTTGGCATCTGGTTCCATTTTCTGTTGCTGTCATTTATTTTCTGCAGACAAATGCCTCCTTTTGGGGTGGGGGTTCAGGATCTAGCTAGTGCTTAAACAGCCTGAACATTCTTCTTGCCTTTACTCCTGCTCTTCGTCCCTGCGCTCAGAGATATTTGCTTCCTTCCATTCTGGAGCCTTCATGGGGTTCTGTCACGTAAAACAGCTCAATTCTTGTCTTCTTCCTCTATAGGCAGTCAGCTTTTATCTCTCTCAGCTCTGCTAAATTACCACTCCTTCATCTGCTTCTTCCAGAATGCCCTACCTGCTGTATCAGTTCTTCTGATTGATTTGTCCAGAGATTATAAAAATTTCCCCTGTACTGTCATGTTAGTAAGGTTTAGGGAGAGAATGGAACTAAAAAGGCACCTATTTAATCCCTTATCTTCAACGAGAAAGTTTATCTGTACATTTGTTTTGTTTTGTTTTTGCGGTGGATGTGGGTGGGAGGAAAAGAGAGGATGAAGAAAGGATGGACTAAAAAAAACTATGCATCTATTTTTTCCAAAGTATTCCTGTTCATCCAGGATCCTGATGGCTATAAAGTTTTGTTCTCAAATGTACCTCAGTTCTTCCACTGCTGTTCCTGCTGGCTGCTAAGGACAGCTTCCATGGCTTCCTCTCCCTACTCCAACCACAGAGGTGCTGTTAGGTGCTGAGGGCCAGAATGGAACCATGAGGCCAATGGGGGCTGCTGCAGACACTTCATCTCCCTCTTGCTAAGCTCATTTGAGGCCAGCCTCCCTCCATTCAGAGTTCTCAGAGACACCATTCCAGAAGAATCTTTTCCCTATCCCTGTCTTCAGATAGTTTTATTGGGTTGAACACATAGTGATTGACTGCAGCCAGGTCCAGAAAGCTCAGTCTAGTCCTTCACTTTCAGGGGCACAGTTTCTTCATTCATAAAATAAAATATTCTGTCAAAAATTTCCCAAGGCTTTGATAATATAGGATTATATTAAGATAGAAAAAGATTTTAAACTATCAGCATAATATAACATACAATATTAAATGCACTGCCTTCCAGACCCAACTTAATCCATCAAATTTCTGCTGGATGTTTACAATGTGACAATGAAGGATGTGGCTCTTGCTCTCAAGAAACGTGCCACATGATAGGGATAGGAGTTACAAATACATAACCTGTTTAAGGAAGAAAGTGGGTGAACCCACTGGAGTGGAATAGAGAATACACTGCTGCAGCACAGAGGAAGGAGAGGTGATTACTGACGAGGAGAGATAGGAAAACTTTGGAGACGTGGACTTCTGGTTGAAACACAACCAAGGCAGGAGAGAGAATAGTAGCTGAGCTACACCTTCTCATTGAGCCATGAAAGGCTTTGCCCAGAGATAGACCCAGAACAAAGTATACTATGTTTACAGGGTTTGACAACAGATGGCAGGTGGGAGTCCAGGGTAGCATCTGTAGTCAGGGAGACTTACGTTGTAATGAAGTGTTCCAACATGTTGCCGTAAAGGCTATTAGGGGGAGAGGATAGTCAGAGATGTAAACAGGCAGGCAGGCAGGCAGACGCATTATGAACATCTTAGCAGAGAATAGGGCACTAGCCACCAGACTGAAGTTCAGGTGCAAGATCCTAGGACTAGAGAAAGTCTTTATAAGTAGAGAAGGTTTTGCAAGAGCAAGGCTGTTTTTTTTCCCCGCAGAGGAACCAGTAAACCATTCAGAGTGCCCAGCAAGGAGTCAGAAACAGGCCATTAGATAGTGGTTAGGGAACAAAGTTGGAGGGGGATTGATTCTTGGGAGTAAAGTCAGAGCCCAGTTACCAGCCCTAGGTGTAGTTGAGCAGGATCATGGCAAGATTGAGTCCTAGAAAATCAATATTTTTTCCATTTTGGGGGCAAGAGATAAACTTTCCAATAAAGATCTCATAGTGCCAGTGCTGACTAAACATAGTCTGTTATTTATTCTTGTATATTTGGTTAGAAAGTATATAAATTTAGTTATCTTCCTCACTGTTTAAATTCTTGTAACCATAACTAAAAACTCCTTTAAAACATCATATGTATTTGTATATATGTGTATCCATATATTGTCAAACATATGTATATGAGGGGAGACCAAAAAAAATAACCCCAGAATTATCTTTTTGAGGGCAGGTCCCTTGAAGTACAGGCTTCTCCACTAGCTAAGTGTTCTAGGAACCCATCAGCAGCAAAGTACCAGGTAGCATTATTGTGAGAGGCTGCATTTGGCTCCAGTGAATTTTTTGGCGATTCTTTCAGCACATTTGCTCATTTCATGATGGGTAGTTTACAAGTGCACCTGCCTACACCATGCAGATTGTTCAGTAGTTTTTAACCAAAAATGCCATTACCCATGTCCCAGTCTCCTTATTCATCCGATCTCACCCTGAGCAATTTTTTTGTTTCCCTGGATAAAAAAATCCTCAAAGGGAATTGTTTTATTAATGTGAAAGAGATGAAACAAAGATGAAACAAAGAACGGCAGAAGCACTAAAAGGCGTCAATATTGATGAGTTCAAAAGTCATTTTGAGCAGTGGAAAACATGTCTCAGTAGGTGTATTTCATCAAACAGAGAGTACTTTGAAGGTGACTGAAGTTTAAACATGTAAGAATAAATACACAATTTTTAATAAATAACTTTCCCTTCATTTCTTACAGTTTCATGGTCCTCTACTCACCATGGTTGACCTTGTAGACCTGTGTGTAGATATTTCAAAAGGCTGTGTCTACTTGGAGCAGATGCACTTCATTCACAGGTACAATGGCATTCTGGATGTTGGCACAATAATTGCAAGTGGTTTGGGTAAAACACACAAGATAATTGAACACTTTTGTTCCTTCAAAATATCAATAATTTCTGTAAAAAGTTTCTCTTTTCTACAGATGCAGTAGTGTTACTTGTTTGATCTCTGGAACCATATTATTATTATTATTATCATTATTAAATATTGCTTCTGCCATAGAGATCTAGCAGCTCGGAATTGCCTTGTCTCGGTTAAAGACTATACCAGCCCTTCAAGGATAGTGAAGATTGGGGACTTTGGACTCGCGAGGGACATCTATAAAAATGATTACTATAGAAAGAGAGGGGAGGGTCTGCTTCCTGTTCGGTGGATGGCTCCAGAAAGTCTAACGGATGGAATTTTCACTACTCAATCTGATGTATGGTGAGCTCAATGAGACTCAGAAAAATGTTGGCAGAACAACCAAATGTAGAGCCAAAAGAGATCTTAAACTTGCTTTTATTATGTGAGAAAACAGAAGACCCAAGAGGTTAAGTGATTTGCCTCAAGCTAAAGTAAAAGCGGGTGGGACTATTCCTGGGTCTCACAGCTTACATCTCTCCCCTAGTTTTGTTATGAAATAGACACATTTACATCAAGTATTTTATTGCACTCCAAAGATGTAAAAACATAAGACTAATAGGAATTGGTATCCATGAATTGATATCCAGGTGTGTGCCCAAATGTCTAGTATCTTAGGGATCATTCACTTATAGGTAAATTTTAAATCATGGATTGCAATAAAACATCCAAAAAAGGTTTGGATGTCTTTTTATTATTTGAATAAAAGCCCTCATTTTTGTTCCTTGACCCCAACTTTTGATCAGAACTACTCAAAATGTAAGGATTTGTTCAATGACTTTTTAAGCTGGTCTAGCCTTAGACAAAATTGGGGATGAGATAAAAGTGGTCCTCAGTGCTGCAGCTTTTATTTGTGCCTTTACTCTTGATATTAACACTCTGTCCCCTCAAACTTGTGGGGGAAATGGTATAGTGTTGTCTTGCTCACCCCACTTGTGTCTGCATGTTGATACTCTGAAAACCTTAGGTAATGGAGGTCTACCGTAGGTTTCAACCAGCAGGTGAGAGTGTGTGTATGTGTGTGCATGCACGTATGTGTCCATGTGTGAGTACACGTGTGTGTGTGTGCACCTCCCCAAGCCTATCACCTTTGAAGTGTTGCTCTTATATGGTGACCTGTTCTACTTTTTCTGAATGTCAACCTGCTTTTAAGGTTCTCATTTGCCTTTTATGGGGCCATTAATGCCAATCACAAAGTAGAACCTGATAGCCCCAGGAAAAATGATGTTGGAGAAACTACTGTAAACCTAATGTTTGTAATAAGTCTAATTAAAGCAAACCCTTTGATATCCTTAGGTCTTTTGGAATTCTGATTTGGGAGATTTTAACTCTTGGTCATCAGCCTTATCCGGCTCATTCCAACCTTGATGTTTTAAACTATGTGCAAACAGGAGGGAGACTGGAGCCACCACGAAATTGTCCTGATGATCTGTAAGTCAATTATGTAAAATTAAGCACCCAAAGGACAAAAACATGGGCAAATGCAACCTTAGACCTCATTAGTATGGTATTTTAAAGTAAAAACTGGAATTTATTTGTACATCACAAAAAAGCGTAAATTGATTGTGCCAGTTAATTTACTCATACACTGTGGTTTCTTTTTATTTATGTATTCACATGATAATTCACTCAGAAACAAAATTTTGGAGAGCATCCATTTATACTTCTGGTTAGGTGAATTCTAATAAATAAAAAAAAGCTCTCTCTGTGTGTGTGAACATACACACATATTCATTGTATTTTGGGAGACTTGATTTGACTAGTATCTTACTCTACATATGAAATGACTCTACCAAAGAGAGATATACCCTTTACAAGTTGGATTACATTTGCTGATATAAATGATAAGTATTGATGGGAAATAGTATTATTAAAAATTACACATGTTATAATCTGTTTATGAACTCAATTCAAAATGGCTAAGTATTAGTGATTCTATCAACCCCTGGCCATTATTGGATTCTAATAGTGACACTGGAATAGTATCTTTTAGTGACTTTTAGTCTAATTATAAAAGGAAAAAAGTCAAGTTTTTATGCTGAGCACTACTTTGTCTCTTTGTGGACAACCCCTATAGAAATATCAAGTCTTGAAACTTTTTCTGAACGGTTTTACTCAAGAACTTTCTAAGAGAACAAATATTAACACATGTACACTCTACTGTGTGTCCTATACCATGCTAAGGATTGTGTGGCTTTCAGAGGTGTTTAAGCTATAGCTGCAGCTCTTCAGCATCTCAAAATGTATCTTGAGTAAAAAGACATGCACGTGGAGGAACAGTTGGATGACAAGCCAACATGTAATAAAGTGCTAAACTGTGTGGTACAGACAAGTGCAGAAGGAATTAGCAGTATGCACATGCACATCATGGTTGCACTGCCTTGACTATGCTGTGTTATTTAGAGGATTATTCAGACTTGAGCCAAAAGATGATTAAGAGCTGGGCACCTAGGTTGGGATGTTCTACTGGCAACTGTTTTTGTGTTATTTCAATCTTCTAGCTAGCACTGCTTGTTTCTGATTTAGCTTTTTACAATCTCTGGGATACTTACAGGGAGATCAGATATATACACAATTGACCAAGTTTGGTCATAGTGCCTAACTCTTTGGGGGTGAAAATGGGGGAATAGTCTACAAGTAAAGGGTAAGAAATTATACAGTATTTGAAAACCTTAGGTGTAGGACTTGATAAAAAAAAAAAGGCTGCATACTTAAATCTGAAATAAATTGTAATTAAATAGTTACAGAATAATCATTGTTTCGCATCTCTTACACATCTGTCAAGCACTCAGAAATTTTTGCCAGAATATCAATTGCACAAAACTTTCCTTATGCTGTTAGAATTTGATCTGGCATATTCTACCCTCCCTCAAGAATAAATGTGCTTCCTCATAATCATGCAATATTTTTGGATAAGCCCCTTAGAAATCAATCACTGAACTACACATTTTGACTAATGTGTTTGATTATTTTGTTTGGAGAAGGGAGGCAGAAAAAAATGTTGTATTGTGGAGTAGAACAATGTAGGTATGCTGAACATTGTTCTATCCAAACGTGCCCCAAAATGCAACTATAAAGAGAAAGAAAGAGTTCCTGAAACATATTACTGATTGTGAGTGGGAAGAGATGATATTCTGTAGAGTTCATCTTGAATAGTGTATCAGTTGGGTTGCCCTAATTTTTATAAAAATATACTTTCTTTGCAAACAAAAATTTCCATTAGCATTATTAATAAAAAGCAAACAATGCTCCAAGCCCTCCAAGTGCTGCAAAACTCTGCCAAGCCTCCAGGAGGGTTAAAGATCCATTGCCAGCCAAGAAAACAAGCTGGGCTGGGAATCAGAGCTCTGAGCGGTGCCATTCAATCTGGCCACGGCCTTAAGTTGTCATGATAAAGATTAACTACTCTCCTTAGAGTACAGAGGGGACTGATTTGTATTTAAAGCAGTTTTCCGAGATCACAGACCCAGCTTAGAGGGTTGAAAGTCTGCACTGAGCCATGCTGCACCTTCTATTCACTGCTTAGATACTCAGCACCTGGATACACTCTGGGTCAGGCAAGCCCATAGATAGCCCTGCTGTACTCAGCTATTCATGGAATGTGGGGTTCAGAGCATTCCTGCCCTTCTCTCCATGGGCAGGAATATAGGGTAGAATTCTCTTCAGCTTTTAGTTTGCACAACAACCACACCACTCCTGAGAAGAAAAAATGGGATCAAAGGGCAGTCTTCTTCAAGTGAGAGCTCTTTGGGGTTCTGAGACACACACATCCTAGAAGCAACTGGGGTTACTGCAGAATTCCTCAGATGTAGGAGGCAACAGTGGAAGAACATGAAGACTCAACATCTTATTTTACCCTTAAAGATATGTACATGCTTTGCTACTAATGCTACATATTTTTATGCTAATTTGTTCTCTCCAGGATTGCGTCTAATGAGTGATGATAATCTTTAAATCTGTATATATTTTTTTGCTTTGTTTAAACACCTACAGAAATGTGATCCCTTAATACTGAAAGGTAATACAGAGTTTCCATCTGTTGAACCTCAATTTTTTTGTGAATTCAAATACCTTAAGACTCATAGAGAAACTAATACTGAGCAGGGCTAATAAGTCTCGTGCTATTTTGAAAAAAAAAGGAGGCAAACAGTAGTGAAGAGGCTTGCATGGCAGGTAGAGGAATTGGAACTGGAAAATTTAGCCAAATGAGGAACTTCCCTAGAACTGGAACAACCATCCCAGGTACATTTTAACAAACATGAAAGAAAGGACCTGTGAGTTTATTTAGAGTAATATATTTGGATATTTGTAACAATTACTTAGTGGGGTATAGAAAGCATGATATAGAATGCTGACAAGTGCATAGTTGTGTAAGGGAATATCCCCTATGCAAAAGCTATAGTTATTTATTTACTTGAAAGATTTAAGAAACAAAATTTTTAGGATTATTAATTCTTAAAAGCCTCTTCATTGTATTCCATTGCCAGTTTATTGCTGTTTGTGAACACACATTTTATTCTTTACCTTTAGATGACTATTGCTTTAGATAGCTCCTCTTTTCTTAGTCCTCATTTGTCCGTGGATGATGGGACAGGAAGGTTTTAAATACACAGGTTATATGTGCTTGTCATCAGAAAGTTAAGAATGGTAGGATTCAATATAAATTAAAGTCTTCATAGATTTTAAAAAAGGATATCTGCTTATGTGAATTTTGTAGGTTGAATAGGAGGCTGAATTTTGGAAGCAGAGTCAATGGGCGAGGTGCAGGCAGCTAAGCGGTAGCTGCGAGGATTTAGCTGTAAGGCTTCCCTCTCCCCTCCTTCCTCCTCCCTTGCCTCTTCTTCTTTCTCCTTTCTTCCTTTTTCTTTCATTCTTTCCTTCTAAATAATCTTCATTAGGTATCTTGAATACTTTTTAGGATGAAACAGGTTATAAATAAATAAAATAAGTACAGTAGTGCTCCCTTTTCTGTGAGGGATATATTCCAAGAGCCCCAGTGGATGCCTGAAGCTACAGATAGTACCCAACTCGATATATACTCTGTTTTTTAATCTGATACCCAAGAAACTAATGAACAAGTGACATATACAGTGTGGAGATGCTGGATGAAGGGATACTTCATATCTCAGTCATGACAGAGTGGAATGGCATGAGATTTCATCATGATACTCAGAATGGCATACCATTTTAAATTTATGAATTGTTTATTTCTGGAATTTTCCATTTAACATTTTCAGACCACATTGACCACAGGTAACTAAAATCATGGAAAGCGAAACAGTGGCTAAGGAACTACTGTAAAAATGTCATAATTGAAATACAACAAGTCTTGACTGATGCTATCTACACCTTGGCAGTACTTTTGAATCATAACTTCATTTTCAGAAAGGAATCGCCTCCTATGGAAAATTATGATACTTTAGTGTTTTTTCCTCAACTCTGAGGACAACCCTCTAGATTAGTTATCCAAATTCCACTTTATTGTTTAAAATCCATGATCTGATATCAGTTATGATAGCATATTTCAAAGCCTAATAATCTTTCATTGAAATGTTTGTATTGCCCCTATTTTTAAATGGTACAGGTTTTATAAATAAATGCATAAAAAATTACATTGTTTTTAGTTTCTCAGCTATGATCTAACTTTTAAAGAGTAGAACCAAGTTTGGCACTCTATGAATGTAAATTTCTTATAATATATGTGAAAAGTCATCAGATTGATACATTGAAAACAGCCCAATATTTGGCTTCCCCATGACATTCTGATATCAAGTTCTAACCATGTCCTGAGGTGCTTGTCAAGAGATGGAACATGTGGAAGTAGGGATTGCATGCCACATTACAATAGAATGGAGATGGCACTGTTAGTTCCTAAAATAGATACCAGCTATCTTAAATACATCTATAAGAATTTCTGGGTCATTGTCACTTAGTGATTGAATATAATCTTGTTTTGGCTCAATTGGCATGATCTTAGTCCAAATCACCATTGTGTCTCACCCAGTCTTCTTTACAATTCCCCCCTATAATCCATTGCCCACATATCAACTAGAGTAATCCTTTAAAAATGTAAAGCTTGTGCCTGCTTAAAAGCTTCAAAGGCTTCCCATTGCTGTGTCATAAAATACAACTCCTTGCCAGGCCTGTGAGACCTGTGTGATCTCCCCTTCCTCCTCTGATCTCAGACTCCCCCCTCAGTGACCATACTTCAGTGACACTGGCTTTCTTTCAGTTCTAAAATGTGCCAAGCTCTTTCCAAATTTAGGACTTTACACATGCTTTCCTTCTCATAATGTGTTCCCTTACTCCCATCCACACCCTATTCTCATGACTAGCATCTTATTTTCCTACAAAGTTCTTTGGCTTAAATGTTACCTCTGCAGATGGGCCTTCTGTGAGCAACTTTCCCAAAATGTTTCACACCTATTAGGATTCACATTTGATTTCTTTAGTACTTCATAAAGAAATCGTATATTTATTTGTTGATATAGTAGTACTACTATTTTTAAATATCTGTCAATCTGGGTTGCTTGTGGATTCTCTTTCCCTGCCCCTAATCTGCGTTATAGCTCCATAAGTCAAAAGAGACCAGGTACTTAAGTTTTTAATAAGTCTGTAGATTGAAAACCAGTCTTGGAATAGAGAGACAGTTATTGAGAGTTCTTTATCTTCTTGTTAGTGTACTAAGTACCAGGTTTTAACTGTGTATATAAAAACACACCGTTTTATGCGAGATAGTCAAATAAAAAAGAGAAAGTGAGTAGAACCCTTACTCCTGTAAGTCCTGGAGAAGTGTGGAAAGAAGAGAATTTGACAGATAGAGGTAAAAGGATGAAGATATTGGATATCTGGGTCCTCAAACCTTTGAGGTTTCAGTTAGATGAAGTGGTCAACATAAAGGGCCTACGTCTTGGTGGATGATTACCCACACCCCCTAAGTTTGGGAGGATGGCAAGCAGATCATTGAGCAAGGAACACCCCCACTTTGACATGGAGAGACCCAGCATTATTAAGAAGATGGAATGACATGTCCAGAGCGAAAAGGTCTAGCTTGTGCTTCCAAACTTCCTTTGTTTCCCATGTAGGTGAACATTTTGTTGAAATCTAGAGTTTCTCTCAAGGAGCACCCTGTGGGAACACAACAGAAACAGGAAAGGATTCCCTGGGCCTTGTCATCAAATACATGACATGATAGAATCTCAGAGAACCCTCCAGCTATGGAGAGACAAGGGAGGACCAGTTTAGTGGGAAAGGGCCAAAAGAATCAGTCAAGAATTAACAGACTGCTGATAGCAGCTGGTGCCTACAGGATGGGCCAGACCAGTTGCTCCTTAATGAATTCTGGATTAACCACCAAGACTAACGAAGCTCTGGAGGGCACAGTGAGGTTCAAAGGATCCTTCACCGTGCCACTAGAAGTCAAGCCTCTCACCTGTCATATTCTGACATTATCTTAGGAGGGCAGAGGTGGTAGAGATGACCTAAATAAGAAAGACTGGATTATTGTCCAGAAAAGACTAAAAGGTACTTACAAAGAGTGCTCACAATAGTGAATTGGACTAGGTTACAATACACATTGTGCTGAATGAAGTTACTTTTCTTCTGCTAGGTTGAGAATCTGAAAAAAGACCTAGTTAGTTACAGATGATATAAGAGAGTTACAATTTTTCTCTACCCATATGAGTTGTGATGTGATCCATTTTGTCTTCGTCTTACATTTATTACACATCACCTATGGGGACAGGAGCCACATGGCCATATCCCTAGCTCCTGAGACCCTGCCAGTATAAAATAAGTGTCCAAAATCTTTTCTGAGTGAATGGAAGAGCACTAATTAAGCATGCTGCACAGGCATTTCTAAGACAAGCATTAAGGAAAATTAAAAGTTTAATCAACCTGCTCTGGGAACCCAGTCTTAATTAACCTGATTGTGTAATGAACAGTAAAAGCACTGGCATTGAACCTGAGTCACACCTCTGGTTGTTCTGTGCCAAATATCTGTGTGGAAGGAAATAAATCTTTTAAATCTCAACTTCTTCAATGATTTTTATAGCTTTTACGTTCATTATGTGTTGAGAAGACATTTTCCAGTCATCTACTTATGTGAATTAATAACTGTTAAAATAATGTCAGCTTTTTAAAAGAAAGATGTTTTCAAACAAACACGGTACTATTAAAAAAACTACTCAAAAAACCAAGGCTTTGTTCTAATTCATTTATATTTAGTATGGAAAGTGGGTAATAATGTAAATTCCCTTACTTCTAAAATGACCTTATCTGGATTGTTGGTCATGACATCCAATCACCATTTTCTCTCCCATCTTTACCCATATATCCAGGTGGAATCTAATGACCCAATGCTGGGCTCAGGAACCTGACCAAAGGCCTCCTTTCCATAGAATTCAAGACCAACTTCAGCTATTCAGAAGTTTTTCCTTAAATAGCATTTCTCAGTGCAGAGATGAAGCAAACACCAGTGGAGTCATAAATAAAGACTTTGAAGGTAAGTTTGATTGTTCAAAATATTCTAGTTTTCTCCCCACTGTAAACTGAACAGGGTTAAGATGAAATGTACACAGGAGGCACTTTAGCCTGGGCAAGAAGAATAGTACACTGGCACCATTGTCATATTAAGTATTTATTTTATTCCCCTTTAACAATTATTTGTATTGTGCACTAATTTTTTTTAAAAAAGAAAGTTCTATGGACCCTGGATTTATAGTCCAAGGTTGTAAGGAAGAGAATTAACATTTTACATTATATTTTCATGAAGTCTGTTCTCCTCTTCCTCCTCGCCTCCCATCAGTTTGAGCATCAGGTGCACAGTTGCGTTAATTACAGACTCTTCGCTTATGGTATGTTTCTATCATTGGTCTATGCAGGGCTTCTCTCTTGTTTGTTTGGTCCCTTTATCCCCACATTCCTCTTCTGTTCTACTTCCTCCCTCACGCTGCCGGATAACCATATCTTTAGTGAGTATCTTTTATTTGTATGATTTCCTGCAAAATGTGTATTGCTTTATATGTATGAATGCTTTTCTTTCTTTTTGCATTAAGCACTGCATTTTAAAGATTCATTTATGTTGCTATGTAGGTATCTAACCCTTTGCTTCTAACTGCTGAGTAATTTTGCTGTGATTATCATAGTAAATCAGGTCTTGCTAAGATCTAGTCTGATTTGATGACTTTAGTATTTTGGTAAATAAGACAATAACTTTCTGGAACCATTCTCCTGTGATGGACAGACTCAGCCTTTTCGTTCAATGTAGGGAACCAAACAGAATTAAAACACAGTAGTCATTTAATTCATTTCTAAAGTCAGATTTACCATATGTTTGCCTAATTGAAAGCAGAGAAATAAATTTTAAAATGATTCTCTTCAGCTGCTCCAGAACTCCTTCCTGTTCTTAAACGTCCGTGAAACCTTTTGTTTACTTAAATGCAGACATCCTTGCTTAGAAATGAAACTGGCAAGATGGACAGCAACAAAGAATCTCTCAGAAATTAGGCTTGTTTGTATTTGCAGTGACTCACTTTTAGATGGACAGTGCACATGAGACCTTTACCTTGAGAGCTTGTTTGGAGGTTCTAGCAGGGAAGTACAGCTACTTGCCTACCCTTGATCAAAGAATCATCTTCCTCTATCAGGGAAGGCCATCCTTTTTGACAAACGTTGTAACTTTGGGAGGAACCCAAATGGAGTAGTGAAGGAAGAAGGGGATATTTGTCTAACCAGACAGATCAGTCAAATCAACACTGGTGATCAGATGGGTGAGAGATATTGCAGCCTATCACCCTCACATTTGAGACTTTTATCTTGAGTGATGCACTTGACTAGGAGCAGGAAAAAAGAAGAAGCCCAAGGACAGAGATCTACTTGTTTATTCTTTTGACTACATATTTTGGTAGCTTTGGATCGATGATATAAGCATAAGACTTTGGTCATGCAACTTTAACATAAACTGCTAAGCAACAGATTGGAAAGGTATGTACTTGCTTTGGCCATGCATCATGGCCCTCTTTAGAATAAACCTTTAGAGCAGTCTCACGACTAGATAAAAAAATGTGGTACATATACACAATGGAATAATACACAGCCATAAAGAAGGACAAAATTATGAACTTCACAACTTGGATGAACTTAGAGTTTATAATACTGAGTGATCTACCACAGAAACAAAGAACTGAGTATCACATGTTCTCACTCATAAGCAGACCTTGAACAATTATCGTAATACTAGGAGAAAAGGATTGGCAGTAGTGGGAAACTGCCGGGGCGGAGGGTGGGTACACCTCATCAACAAGGGTACCTGCATAATGAACATTTGTATATCTAATCCTGAATTGTACGCCACATCTTTAAGATAAAATTTTTTTTTTTTTTTTGAGTTGAAGTCTCACTCTGTCGCCCAGACTGGAGCGCAGTGGCCGCTCCTGGCCGCCGCAGCCTCACCCTGCTGGTCTCTGGCAATCCTTCCCCCTCAGCCTTCCAAGCTGGAACTATAGGCGCATGCTACCATGCCCAGCTAATTTTTTGATTTATTGTAGAGATGAGGTTTCACCAAGTTGCCCGGGCGGGTCTCGAACCCATGGGCTCAATCAATTCACTCACCTCAACCTCCCAAGGTGTGGGATTACAGGCTGAGCCACCGAGCCCATCTGATAAAATTTTTTTTAAAAGAGTAGTTTCACATTGGCTCTGCCAGCTTTCTCATCAAGGACTGAACTCAGTCTAAGGGTGCCAATGACAGAATACTTTGGAGTCATAACCGTGATGGCAATCCCATCCTTTTGTAGGGTTTTGTGTATATACTTGCCTTTGCAAAGATCACATGGGATTAGGAAAAAAACATATCCTGAAATCATTCTAGGTACTAACATCCTTCTCATTTTCTATACATTTATTTAATAATGCATTTCTCTGAATTTATATTTTAAAAACAACTTCAGCAGATTTTTAAAATTTTTTATTAATTTTATTTTAAAGATATGGGGTACAATTCAGGATCATGTATACAAGTAGTCATTGTGCAGGTAAAGTTTGGGCCTCCCTTTGGTCCTCACTTCACCTGGTTTGAGATCAAGTATCCTTATTGATGTTATGTACTCCCCTCCCTCTTCCAGCAGTTTCTGGCTACTACCAATTCTTTTCTTATAGTATTATGGTAAATTTTCAGGGTCTGCTTATGAGTGAAGCAGATCGTTACTGATTTTGGGAAAAGGCACAGTGGTAGATGCTTGTATTTAATGTGTTTTATTTGTCACTTTAAAGAAAAAGAAGAGAATATTTCTTTTCCTTGAGAAACTGGACTCAATTTATCTAATTTTGTATGCAAATTTTATTAGTGAACTAAGCTTTTACTGGTGATTGTGAAAATTGTCTTTGCCACAGGACTGTATCTTTTTCCATAGGAAAGACAAGTGTCATTAGTTCACTATTGAATAATAGTGTTTTGTGCAAGCCATTTGAATCTGCTCCTGCCTGGCCTGTTTCTTATTTGTCATAATACCCTCAAGTTTGGAAACTTTAGAGGAACCACAATCTGGGGTGGTTTGCCAATATGTAAGATTACATCTTTTGTTCCTAGGATAGATAGATGGTGGTAACTGGGTTGACCTGAATGCATACATATCTGAAAAGCAAGCAGAACATGGTTTTACTTGCTTGGCATTGAAATCATGTTTTTCTTTCTTTCTTTTTTTTTTGAATTGGAGTTTCACTCTTATTACCCAGGCTGGAGTGCAGTGGCACACTCATGGCCACCTCAGCCTTGACTGGCTGGGCTTAGGCGATCCTCTAGCCTCAGCCTTCCAAGTAGCCGGAACTATAAACTCATGCCACCACGTCCGACTGGTTTTTGTGATTTATTGTAGAGACGAGGTCTCACCAAGTTGCCCAGGCTGGTCTTGAACCCCCAGGTTCAAGCAATCTTCTCGCCTCAGCCTCCCAAAGTGCTGGGATTACAGGCTGAGCTACCGAGTCTGGCCAGCATGTTTTTCTTACTAAATCACTGCTCTTATCTTTAGCAAACAACACTTGACTGATAAAATTCCCATTTGTTTGTGAATATAATTTTGTAGACTTTTTTTTTTGAGTTGGAGTCTCACTCTGTCGCCCAGGCTGGAGTGCAGTGACATGCTTCCAACCACCGCAGCCTCGACTTGCTGGGCTCTGGTGATCCTTCCACCTCAGCCTTCCAAGTAGCTGGAACTGCAGGCACGCGCTACCATGCCCAGCTAATATTTTGATTTATTGTAGAGACAAGGTCTCACCACGTTGCCCAGGCTAATCTCTCACTCACGGACTCAGGCAATCCTCTTGCCTCAGCCCCCCAAAGTGCTGGGATTATAGGCTTGAGCCACAATGCCCAGGCTAATTTTGTAGACTTTATAAATTAAGAGCAATCATTCTCTTTTTAAAGATATTTTTGTTATTTTTCATCAACAATAAACGTGACTCCTGATTCCTTTCTGGTTTTCCTTCTTGCTTTTCCAGTAATTAATCTCAGTAACTGCTCTTGCTGTATTCCTTTATAACTGTACCTACATTTTAAGATCTTTGTTGTAAAAGTCATTTATATTTATTGTAAAAAATATAAAATTATCTAAGCAGAGTAAAAAAAATGTTTTCTCACTTCCCTGGGGCAGCCAAAAGTAAGAATTTCATTATATACTTGTGGATATTTTAATTGTATATGTAACCATTTCCGTTTACAGAAATGTCCATTTATGTATGCTTGTGTATATATTAGAAGGAGATAAAACGGAGGTACTCTAGAGGAATTGATGGACTGTAGATTTGCTAGTCAGTTTTCAATCACTTTGTTCTCATTTTTAAGGAAAAAACCTTATTTTTAAGGATGTGGTGAGCACATGATTTTACACTGCATCTTCTGCCAGAAACCAGGAGAACAAGCATTCTGTGTTAATGAGAGGGACTCCATGTGTTATCGAGTGAAAGTGTTGCTTCTCAGTGTGCTAGAAGCCAATACTATAACATTAAATTTTTGTGAAAAACTTTTTTTCTTCATTTTAGATTTTTATTGCAAGTTGACCAACAAGGAGACAAGAGTCCAGCTCAAATCTGTCTCCCTGTCCTGGCAGTAATTTTGTTACAAAAGGTTTAGAGCGTGGATTCCAGAATTACTAGGTGATTAGTGGAAGGAAAGGAGCAATCTGAAAAGTCCTCAGGCATATATAGTTATCTCTTCATGCTACCTCATAGATTGCATGTGCAAATTTGAGGGGAGTTAGTATGAAACATTAGGTGAAAATTTGCTGGTTCTGTGCATACTCTAGTTGATCATTTTGGTTTCAACAAATTTCAGCCAGTTTTGTTATTTTACAAGCAGAGGAAGTTTCAACATTTCAGCAAGTTGTTTCTTTTCTCATCTGCCATCCTGCAAAATGCAAGAATTTCTGTTCATCATTGGTGTCTTTAACTCTTTGGGCCACATTTTCACATATTCTGTAAGAGTCCAGAGAAGGGATACTGAGTCCACAC